ACCCGTTTTTAAAAGGTTCATTATACAATCTATTTTTTAGTGGATAATATAGGTGGATAACAGTTTCTTTTATCCATTTTGTCACCGCTAGGCTCAACATTTATGAGATGCTGATTTTACATACCACCACTAGAGAATTAATTAATGGGCTTTTTTCACTTTTAACTCGTGCCAGAAATTATATTTATTTGGTAGCCGAAAAAATATATAAAAATTATATAATTTTATATATAACATACAAAATATATATATAAAAAATGTATATTTTTTTGCTATTATTTCGAGAGAGTTTTTACAATGTCATATTTCCTTTAATAATTTAATGCTGAGGGCAGCAAGATGGAAGAGGTTGACTAAGTTTTTAGTCAGTAGCAATGAGTTTTTGATACTCAAATGTAATTTCCCTTTGTAGTTACTTTACTTTTTTGGCTTTTGCCACACCAAGATAATATGTCAGGTTTTATATGTTGTTTTTGACAAAAGGTACTTACAATGCAATTATAGCTCTTATTACTATGTACTAGCTAATATAACTCTTCTATAGCATTTCCATAGGTTGAGTTAGTCCGATTAGAACCTAAGTTGCTCCGACAGGGTAATTTAGGTATCGTATATGTGTTGACACGACACTAGTATGGGTATGAGTATAGGATATGTATCAGATTTGGTTAAATAATTTTGGGTACTTTGACCACGGCGGACGAAAAAATTTGGAACGAGATACAATTTGATTCCCGAAATCATAACCAAAATTAGGATAAATTTGAAGAAAATAACATACCTTATCTAGCAAATCAACCATTTACTTATCTACATCTTGAGAATAAAAAAGAAATTCACATTTTACAAGCTATACGTAGTATTCCACAAAATTTCTTGTTTATATTTTATTTTTTTGAATTACTTTTAGCTGGATCCCCAAACCCGTATCTGTACTAGGATCAGAATCCATGAATCTTAAAATTTATATCTCGAAGGATCCGATCACTAAATCCGCACTCGTGTCCGAGCAACTTAGATTAGAACTAGGAAAAATGGGAGAGCCAATTTAATGAATTCAAGGTCGATGTAACAGGTTCATGGATATAAGCTTCATCATAATATTTCTTGCATTTCAGTTTATGTGGCAATATTTTTTTTTATAATCCGTTTAAAAAAGAATGATAGTTTTCTAATTGCAAATAATCTAAATTAAACTTCTCATTTTTCGCCTAATGTCAAACATTTATAGTCACACAAATGTTATGTCATTTTTAATAACATATAACATAAGTTTCAAAAGTCTTACAGTCATACAAATATTCTGAAAAGTTTAAGACCAAAAGTTTCAGAAGTTTTCCGTTGTTGCTTAAACGTCATAGCCAATCAAATCATGCCACATAAATTTCGTAGGAGTACTAATGTGCTATACAAGTACCAGAGTAAGTTGGGGTAGAAAAGTCTGAGGAGGGAGCTCATCCAATATAATTGCACTTGCATAGCCATGTTGATACATGTTTCAACCTTGTTGTCAGCAATATGATGAAAAACTTCCACACCTTCCTCGTAGCAAAAAAATGACAGTTCGGTGCATTAAGCTCCCGCTATGCGCGAGATTCGGAGAAGAGTCGAACCACAATGGTCTATTGTACGCAGCGTTACCCTACATTTCCGCAAGAGGTTGTTTCCACGACTATCAAAAAAGGTTTTGTTTGTACATGTCTGCTCATGCAATTAATGTGTTACAATTCAGTTCCTATTTTTGCACATTGTTCACTGATTATCATATATATAAGAGCTAGCATACATCCTATTGAAAAACCATACTGAAACAACAATAGATTGTTATAAAAATCTTGCAATGGCTAGCAATATTGCTTCTCTTGCAAACCATAGCCAAAATAGCACCAAACATCAAGATGTTGTAATGGTCATGGTACCTTTTCCAGCTCAAGGACATCTCAATCAACTCCTCCATCTCTCTCGTCTCGTATCATCGTACCATTTACCAGTCCATTATGTCAGTTTTAGCACTTCTATTCAACAGGCCAAGCTCCGAGTCCATGGTTGGGATCCTGTCACCGATACCACTCATAACATCCATTTCAAAGAATTTCCATTACCTTCAACTCATGTTCAATCTCCTAATTGTTCTAATATGTCAAAATTCATAGCATCAACACTTGATTTATCCTTAACCTTAAGAAAGCCAATAAGTTCATATCTAAATGAACTCTCTAGCAAAACTAGGAGATTGGTAATTATTTATGATAGCTTAATGGCTTGGGTGGTTCAAGATATAGTTTCTATACCAAATGTTGAGGCCTATTGTTTTCGTGCTGTTTCTGCTTTTACTACAAGCTCCATATTATGGGAAGGAATAGAGAAATTTTTTCATCTCCCTAAATTTCTAGGGAAATTTATTGCTACCAAATTTCTTAAAATTCCACAACAACTTCCTTTACTTGAGAGTAGTTTCACACAAGAGTTATTGGATTTTATTTTCATGCAAGATAGGCATAACAATATTTGCTCTGGAAATTTATTTGATACATGCAAAGTAATTGAGGGACCATTTCTTGAAAGTCTAGAAAAATTACATAGGTTGTTAAGAAGAGGTAACCAATGGGCAATTGGTCCATTTAATCCAATCAAAATACAAAAAGACTCAAAAAATTGTCACAAATGTTTGAGATGGCTTGACAAACAAGAACCAAATTCAGTAATATTAGTTTCATTTGGGACAACAAGTTCATTATCTAGTGAACAAATTAAAGAGCTAGCAATTGGATTAGAAAAAAGTAACCAAAAGTTCATTTGGGTAGTGAGAGATGTTTTGTTAGGAGAAGATGAAGAAGTTAATATCCCAAATGGATATGAAGAAAGAATAGAAGGAAGAGGTATAATTGTAAAAGATTGGGCACCTCAGTTTGAAATCTTGGGACATTCATCGACTGGCGGTTTTCTGAGTCATTGTGGATGGAATTCTTGTATGGAAAGTATTACGATGGGAGTGCCTATTGCTACATGGCCAATGAGTTTTGATCAGCCAAGAAATGCAGTGTTAGTGACAAATGTGTTGAAAATTGGCATAGTTGTGAAAGATTGGGAACATTGTGAAGATTTGGTTAGTTCAACAACAATTGAAAATGTTGTAAGAAAATTGATGGTTTCATCAGAGGGAAATGAAATGAGGAAAAGAGCTATGGAATTTGGTAAAAAAGTTAGAGAATCTATGATGGATGGTGGTATTTCTAAGATGGAAATGGATTCTTTCATTTCTCATGTTACTAGATACTAGTTTATTCAAAATAAATATTTTATCACTTGTTTCTGTTCTGTTTTCTAAATAATTCTGGTTGTGGAAAAACAAATTATGTACTATCTACTAGTGTCTCCAAGTGTGACATGATTAGCCAGATTCCTATTATATAGAATTTATAATATATCTATGGCAGTGCATAGAGCCTCAAACAAATCCTCTTTTGATATTACAAAAATTAATGTAATTCAGTCAATTTGATTTACTATATTCCTTAGTTTGCTATATTCGCATGTCTCGTTTCACTGTTACTTGTCATTGGTAATTCTGTAGTTTGCTAGTATTACTTCGTTCATATTCTCGTATGCTGCCTTGGAATTAGTTATCTAAATATGTTATCTTGCTACTACTTGTTATTAGTACCCGTTTCATATTATTTGTTGCTATCTCCGGTTTAGTTTTCTAATTATTGTATTGTTGTTACGTGCTACCAGTGATTTTCTCACCTTCTTTGGCCGAGGGTCTATCGGAAACAGTCTTTCTGCCCTTCCAGGGTAGGGGTAAGGTTACGTACAACCTATCTTTCCCAGACCTTACTTGTGGGACCATACTGGGTTATTGTTGTTGTAGTCAATTTGATTTACCATACGCGAAAAAAAGCAATTTCACTATAATAATTGTACATAAAAGAAAGTACATAATTAGAGATAAAACTTTAATTACCCTAAAATGTATTATAAGAAAATAACCTCGTAAAATCACTCGCGAAAAAAAGGTTCACTCAAAGTGTTCCCCGCACTAACCCCGTGTGATATACTAAACTCTCCATTATAAAGAATACTCAAGATAAGTTTTTGTCAAAATGTGGGCAGGCCCATAATTATTGCACAAAGTTCTCGGTCCTCAAGTAAAGATAAAAGAATTAAAAAAATATTTTATTTTTTGGTCCCAAACTAAAATTCTTTAGCTCTAGTTTCATTCTTTGTTTTCGTTCCAAGATTGGTTGTGGATAAATTTAGGTCACATCTTACAGAGAACAATCAAAAATAGGCCAAAACAATCTAAAATAGGCCATGTCTTACACATTTTTTTATGCTTATCCTAAGCCAAATGTCATGACGACTTTGGATTCGCAAATTGTATGGTATAAAGATCCATTAAAGTGAAAGCGCTCTCTACTAGGGGTGTTCAAACCGAACCGGAAAACCGCATCAAACCAAAAAATCAAACCAAATCGATTAAAAAATCCCGACTAGATTTGGTTTGACTTAGTTTGGTATTGAGTAAAATAACCCGAATCAAACCGACATATAAATATATAAATTTTATTTATATTTTTAAGACTTTATAGTGAATTTTCTTTAGAAAATGTAGAAATTATTGTTAGACGACTAAGAAAATAACTATCATGTGTTACTAAAAAAATTCTCCCATTAGAATATTTTAATAGATCATATGTTTGTCAATTTTTTCCATATTTACTAAACATATATTCACTTATCAAAGCTTTATCTATAATATTAACAAAGTAAGATTGAAATAATATTCATGTAACAAAAAAACCCGAAAACCCGAAAAACTCGACAAAACCGAACCAATCCAAACCGATATAGTTGATTTGGTTTGGTTTTACTAAAAACCGAACCAATCCGGTCTATGTACACCCCTACTCTCTACCATGACTTTGTTAATTTCTAGATGTGATAATTCTAATGCATTTATGTGGAAATTAAAGGAAACATGAACGAAATCAGTTGAATAGGAAAATGTCACAGCTTTTTATTTTTTACTTGGAATTATCACAAAAGCTAATGAATATTACACTTATTTTTAAAGTTGTTCATCTCAACTTGCTTGTAGACAATAATCTACCTATACAAAAATAAGCTGCCAAATTTAGTAGGGGCAGATCCAAAGCATGCTTATACCTTATATATATATATTAAAAAATTCATTAAATATCTATACACATTAGACAGTAAACACAATTATTATTGTATATTAATTTGAGATTACTGTAAGAACTCATAAACTATAAATCTTGGATCCGCCTCTTCATATTATTCCCTCTTCATCCATTCACAAGTTTCCTCAGGATGGTTTCACATATAGTGGCATTGTAAATTAAGAAATGTCCAGCATTAGGAACCTCATGATATTGAATCCAATGAAGCTTTTCTGCTAAATATTGATTGAGTTTTCTTGGAATAATTCTGTCATCATAGCCTTGCCATATATGGACTTTACCCTCATTTTCTTGAAATGGATTAGAAATTTCTGTTGGATCAAATTCCCATTTTCCATAACCTACTATTAGGTCTCGATACAACGATTCAAACTCGCCCTGTTGTCGTACCTTTTCCTGAATGAAAAAACAAAAGAATCAAGTTCACACGTAAAAGAGCGTGTCGAGACTTATCGCCTAACAGGCTCAAGTTTAAACGCGTCGCACCCTGACTAGTTTATTGACTTCACCTAACGAAACTTATAGCCTGTTTGGCCAAGCTTTTCCAAAGCTAAAAATAGTTTTTTTCAAAAAAAAAAAAAAACTTTTTTTTCAAAGTTTGAGTGTGTGGCCAAGAATCTCCAAAGCTAAAAGCACTTTTTATTTATTTATCAAAGTTAGAATATTTGGCCAAGCTTTTAGGGGAAAAAAAGGTGTTTTGAGGGGAAGCAGAAAAAAAATTTGGAAATCGCTTTTGAGAAAAATACACTTAGAAACAATTTTTTAAAAGCTTGGTCAAACACTAATTGTTGCTCAAAAGTACTTTTCAAATTAATTTGTCAAACACAACTGCTTCTCACCAAGAGCACTTTTATAAAAAGCGTTTGAGAAAAAATACTTCTCAAAATAAGCTGATTTTTGAAGCTTGGCCAAACGGACTATTATTGTCTAACTGGCTCAAGTTTAAACGCATCGCACCATGACTAGTTTATTGACTTCAGCTAACGACTGAACTCAAAATAAACTATCAAATTATTTGGTCAAAATAAGTCTTACTATAGTGACACATTTTTAAAATCGTGCGGGCCTAGGTCCAAGGCGGGCAATATTACTAATGGACTGGACTGTTATATACAGATGTATCAAAAGGAATTTGACCTCAAGTTCAAAGAGCAAACTATATATTTTGCCGTGAGAATCGTCTTGAATTCCTACTTTATGACCTTAAAACGCCAAACAAAAAAAGAATGGTCATAGCAAAACGATGATTAATTCATTAGGTCGTTTTTATGGGCCCGCAAAATTATAGGAAATTCGGGACAAATCGCCCGAATTCATGCTGATAGCATGGACTATAGCACACGAAAATCTGAAAATCCTCTTGAATTCCTGTTTTATGAACCCTAAAACGCCAAAAAATGAGGCATGAATTAACCGGGTAAAAATGAGAAAATAATTTACCTGACTAGGATTCGGGGCTTCTTTTAACTGTTTCACGATTTCCAAATCTGCATTGCAGAAAATCGACATATTTCCTTCCATATAACTTAAAGTATGGAACCATTTTTGATTAATCCACCAATTAATTAGCCATGGGACATAATGTGCAATTTGAAATGTCCTCTTGTCTTGTGGAATTATCATTTTCAAAGCTTCTTTTGATAGTTTAGAAGGATAACAACTCCACCAATAGTTCACAGCCGGACCAACAAGAGCAACTCCAGCCAACCTACACAGATGATTGATGCATCAATCAATCACATAATAATATAGAACTTCGGGTTAATTTTACGTATGATCACTAAGCGCCTGTTTGATCATAAGAATTTTTTCACTTTTTTTTCGAAATTTTTTACTTTTTTCGGAATCGATGTTTGGGCATGAAATTTTGACCATAAGAATTTTTTTCACTTTTTTCGAAAAGATTTTACTTTTTTTTCGGAATCGGTGTTTGGGCATGAAATTTTGAGCATAAGAATTTTTTCACTTTTTTCGAAAAAAATTTACTTTTTTTCGGAATCGGTGTTTGGGCGTGAAATTTTCAAAATTCACTTGAAGTTGAATTTCGGAATTTTTCGAAAATTTTAGAAACTCTAAAAAGTTATTTTTCAAAATTTTTACTTTAAATCACTCGTAAAAATTCAAGAACAACCCAAAATTATATTCATGTCCAAACACAGCTCTAATTTTCAAATACCATTTTCACAGAAAAAAAAATTCACTTTTTTTTGGAATTTTACAATTCTTATGCCCAAACGCCCACTAAGCGCCTGTTTGACCATAAGAATTTTTTCACATTTTTCGGAAAATTTTCACTTTTTTCGGAATCGGTGTTTGGGTATGAAGTTTTCAAATTTCACTTGAAGTTGAATTTCGGAATTTTTTGAAAATTTGAAAACTCTAAAAAGCTCTTTTTCAAAATTTTCAGTTCAAAACACTCACAAAAATTCAAAAACAACTCCAAATTATATTCACGTCCAAATACAATTCTTATTTTTAAATAAAATTTTTATTTGAAATTTTTTCACTTTTTCCCAAAATTTCAGAATTCTTATGTCCAAACCACTAAATTTTGCCTACTACAACAGGAGAAGTCATAAAATAATATTTTATCATATTAAAGTACCTAAACTATGTGTAAATTACCTAGAAAATATAAATGATCGGAAGGTCAAACATCCGACATCAGTAATGGCATGTGACTTGTCATGTCACCACTTTGTCAGCGGTGGCGTAGCCATATACACTGAAGGGTGGTCGATCGAAAATTCTTCATCAAAAAATTATATTGTGTATATAAAAATTTATATTCTGTATATAGGTCTAAAATTATTTTTAACATAAATTTTTTTAAATTTGGAACACCTTTCAGGAAAGTCCTAACTTCGCCACTATTTGCCTTTATAAATTCCACGTCAAACATTTTAAAAGAGGAAGAAGAAGAAGAAAAAGTAGTAGTAGTTCAACCATGTAAAAAATTTCACTATCCATATTTTTAACAAAAGAAAATTAAAAAATGTATTTAAATGAAATATGGGATAACTAAACAACTTTTATACTATAAAATGCATTAGAAATTCACTTGTATCTAGTCATAGTTAGCTTAATAACATCAATAAATGCTAAAAAACTCACATTCAATGCTTAATTATAATTAGACCTGGTCGGTTATTTGTATTTTTTAAACTATTCAAACATAATAATTTTGTGATTTTACTATTATATAAGAAAAGGAGCCTTTACGTATCTGGTAAAGTTGTTCATGCGACCAGGCGGTCACGGATTCGAGCCCTGAAAACAGACTCTTACAAAAATACAGGGCAAGGCTGCGTACAATATACCCTTGTGATCCGGCCGTTTTCTGGAACCCTCACATAGCGAGAGTTTAGTGCATCTATACACGATAAAATTCAGTTATCATACATCAAATTAGACAATGATTTTCAAGGTATACCTGTGTGGAATGTAATTTAGGCAACCCCAAACAGCGTAGGCTCCCATTGACAAACTAACCACATAGAACTTTGGTCCTAATTGTAACTTATTGGCTAGCTCCTCAATATCCAATGCTTCACTCCTCACTGAACGTTTTGAATGTGGAACACTCTCTCCATAACCAGCACGATCATATGACACAAGATATATTTGGAGCTCCTCAATCAGGTCCTGCAGCGACAGATCCAGGATTTAAAATTTATGGTTTTTTGTAACGATCTCAATTTAATATATAGTAATAATCGGATCAACGGACTTGGTTCCGAGATAAATATTATTATATATTTAGTAAATTTTTAACACAAATATAGAATCAACACAAAAGTTACTGAGTTCACGTGAACCCCTGAGTTCCTGAGAACTTAAAATCAGAACCAGTAGATTTATATAACTTTGGGTTGGAGTTATAGGTTCAGGCACGGGGTTTAATTGAATCCTCTTAATTAGAAAATTATATATAGTATAAATACGGCAAAAATAAGGTTTTTTAGTTATATAAATTATAAACAACCAAGAGTCACTTTGTTAAATCGTAGCCTGATTGTACAGATAGTACATATAATATATTCTCACCGAAAAGGATAGTTACAATTCAGAGGCGGATCAACAATTTCCGAAAGATTGGTTCACTATTACCTTTTTTTTAAAAAAAAATTAACCCAAGAGGTTGGTAGGGGACCAGAACTAATGCACCACTTAGTCTTATTGACCTTGGGTTTCATCAAGTATATATATCTATTTTTTTCAAATTATGTACATCATATTTATACTTTAACCCGAGGATCACGGGTTCACGTAAACCATGTTTTACATGGTAGATCCGCCCCAGGTTATATAGTTAGTTTTTCAAGAACTTTGATGCAGTTGTCCTATGTAAATATGATAGACGTGCAGCTGTTATAATCCAAAATTTAAGAGTACAACAATAGCCGCTTATTCAACTGCAACTAAAAATTACTGGTTAATTGATAATATACGTATAATTAATATATAATATGAAAAAATCATGTGACCTATGTATACTAGTGAGAAGATGTAAATAGTGAATTATATCTGCTATTTGTATATAGGGGCGGCTCAACGGATTTATGGCCTAAAGTCAAACTTAAATGAGGGGCCCTAAAATTTTTGTTGTAGAAGAAAACTCATAATTTTATTTGAAATTTATTTTTCTAGCTTTTTGAGATGGGAAATTTCTAGCTTTTTGAGGCAACTGTTACTGGAATTGTTAACATTATTCTATAAGCAATATAAGCATTTGGAAAAGAATCAAGTCTTTTTATATGATTAAGTATGTCGATTAGAGTATCATATTCTACATGAATTATTTCCCTTAAAAACTTTTAATTCAAAAAATAAATCTAAACCATCAATATCAGAATGACATTTATGTTTCAAAGAACATTCAAGATTAAGACAATTTTTCTTCAAGTTCTCATCATCTAGAGATCTCAATTTTTTGCCACTAAATAGGAAACCAAAAATACTTTCATACGCTTCAAATTGTTCAAATCTAGTTTGAAGTGAAAAATAGCTTGGTCTACTATGTATAAGAAGTAATCAACTCTAAAAGATTTTTCAAGAGACTTTGTAATTTCATTATCAACATTCTCATCAAATTGTTTCTTTCTATATATTACACGTTTATTACGAAATTCAGGTTCTATATTCAACTCATATGCAATTTCCTTAGCAGAAATCATCGCAGTTTCAAATCCTTCTTCTCTATATTTTTTGAAAAACGAAATTAAACCCCTAATTTGATCTATGGCAACATCAATATGCATATCTTTTGATTGTAAATGTTTGCTAACTGAATTGACTGCAAATAGTATATCATACCAAATAGTCATACCCAGTAAAAACTCAAAATGTTCAAGCTCATAAGTTGCTAAACAACTAGTTTCACTTTTAGTTTTTGGATCCTCACTAACTTCTACTGTATAATAGTCCATTGACTAGGATCATATATGTTTCTAGGAGTATAATTATCCAACTTATTTCGAACTTCTTGTTTTTCTTGAGGATATATGTTAGGTTTCTCGTCAACTTCTCCTCCTTCCTCTTCTTCTTGAATTTTATTATTGTCTATCTCAATTGTATTAGTGATTTGTTCATCTATCATAAAATCTTCCGCATTTTCTGATTTAGAATTTTTACTATTCGCTACAAATTTATCAAGTGCTCCTTTTGGGGATCCTATAAGAGTTTCAATCCTTTTCCTTTTTTGACGTTTTGAATACCTGGATTCATATTTTCTAGTTGACATATTAAAACTCTAATTCAAAATTCTTGATGAAACGCCAAAATGATTGAGAACTAAAAAAAACATATGGTACTTGTAAGTTATAACTTGTGTTCTGCTCTTTTTATTTGTGATAATGACTCAATGAGATTGGAATGTAATGCAAAAATAATTTTTCTAGAGTTCCTACCATCTCATTTCATGTGATGGTCTTTGACTGTACACGAAATTTTTACAAAAAAGATATATTTTTGGAACTTGTGTACTCAAATATGTTATGACATTTACGTAGCTATAAAATTGTGTCACTAAGTAAATGAAATAAAAGGCAATCCGGTGCACGAAGCATCCTCTACATTTACACAAGGTCCAGGGAAGGGCTGCATCCCTAGGGGGTATGATATAGACAGCCTACCCCAATGTAAGCGTTAGTGGCGACTTTCACTGTTCGAACACGTGACTTATAGGTTACACGGAGACAACTTTGTCGTTGTTCCATAGTTCCCCTTCATTGAGTATTAAATAAGCAGTTTAGAGTTATATTTACTTTTAAATATATAAATGTGACATTCTTTTTGGAGCTGATTAAAAGGGAAAGTGTTTACATACTTGGGAGATAGGTAAGTTCTCATCTTTGGAGCTATCAAAGCCATGAACAATAATGATTTTGTACTTAGCATTCTCTTTGGCAATACCTCTCTCTTTGTAGGCCAAATATCTCCCATCTCTTAGTTGAATCCTTGGTGAAGTCACAGGAGGACCATTTAATGAGCCACAAATTTTTGGAGGGGGAGGTTTAATTAATGCCAAATATGCCCATCCAAGAATTACAACTAATGTTGCTACTGCTATTTGTAAAATTAACACTGAAAAAAAGGAAAAAAAAAATAATAAGAACAATATTGGTAATGGGAATAGGAAGAAATTAAACTAAGGTAAAGAAGAGTAATGGAACACAATGCTACGCAGTCCCTCTATTTCGCTTTATTTATCTTAGTTTGACTTGACATAAAGTTTAATGAAAAAAGAAAACTGAATCTTATCTGTCGGTATTTTTGAAGGATCCTAGCAACATGGGAAGAAAGACCACTAAAATCAATGACACTAAAACAAGAGCTCAATTTAAACTAATCAATTGACAATTACACCTAAATTTCATATTAGCAGCTAGTCGATATAAATCCTCTGTATCCATTTTGCTCTCTGCAAGTTAAATATTCAACATATTTATTTGAAGTTATACTATTTCTGTTGAAGGGAAGCCTTTGAGCAAATATTAAAATTATTTCCGTATGACCTATATGTTACGGGTTTGAGTCGTGGAAGCAGTCACTAATACTTGTGTAAGATTAGGTTGTCTACATCACAATGCAATCCTTCCTTGTATCCTGCATAAACACGGAATTCTTTGTGCACCGGGCTGCCCTTAGACTATTTCCAAGTTAACCGTCAACCCTCCCCCCCCCCCCCCCCCCCCCCCCCCCGCCTCCCCAATTCGCAACCTCTTTTTGGATCAGTTGTACTTTAAGTAAGCATTTGGACAAAAAAATTACTCTACGATTTTTGGAAAAAAAAAAAGTAGTATTTGGATTTAAACTGAAAAATAGTATTTAAAATTATATTTGGGCATTCATTTCACTTAAAAAAATATTGCAGCTTTGCGAGTGGGGAAAAAAATTTTTGCCGTAAAACTTGAAATTTTGATTTTTGAAAAACTCATTTTCAAAAAATCTCCAAATACTTACAAATTTTCATAGAAATACATGTTTCTGAAAAAGATTTCCGCAAAAAAAGAAAAAAAAATCTATAGACAAACAAGTCCTAAAATTAACTATCAATTATATTTAGGTAGTGAAGATAAGCATTAGAAACTGAAAAAAGAAACAAGACAAACAAAAATAAACAACAATAACAACAATAGCTATCCAGTAAAATCCCACAAAGTGAGGTCTGGGGAGGGTAATGTGTACGCAGACCTTACCCCTACCCTGATAGGGCAGAAAGGTTGTTTCCCATAGACCCTCGACTCAGAAAAAAAAAAGAGAAGGAGACAATTCATTAGTAACTCCAGTAGAAATCATAATAGTAACAGAAGCATAACAACCAAAAGATAAATGACATGCAATAACAGTAACCAGTAACTAAGGCCCGGGGCTAGGATAAACAGCAAGGATAGTGTGGATTCAACATAAACTGCAAGCTATCTAAGATCAACCCTAATCCAACCCCGCCTCACCTCCAGTATGAAATACGCAAAGCTCTACTATCCTCTAACCTACAACTCTAATGCTTGACCTCCAAACCTTCCTATCAAGGGGCATGTCCTCCAAAATAAACTGCAAGCTATCTAAGACAAACAAAAATAAAGTGCAAAACAAATGGTATAACTTACTTGGATTTCCTGGTATGAGTTCTAATTGATGCTACTCTTATTTTTAATTACTAATGGATATCTTTGGTAGAAAAAATGTATATTGACGTGTAGTGATCAGTGTCACACTACTGCTATATATGCTGGTCACATATAGCAATTAAGCACGTTTAAATTGCTATGGCGCAATCTTTGGGCCGCCTAATCTATAAGTAAGCCGTTTGCTATTGATGTAAGGGTTACTCGCCTTTATATGATTTGACTTCTTTGTTGCGACAAAATAGCACGGTATAATTAATTTTTGGACTGGTCATTCAAAAATAGTCAACGTTTACGAAGTCAATGAAAAATAGCCACTATTTTGCTGTAATAGAGATCGGTTCAGCATAATATACTGGAGTTCGGTGCACCTGTGTATGAACTTCAGCATATTATGTTGTACCGGTATACTTTGCTGACTCCAATATAATATACTGGAGACTGGAGCACCGGTGCTCCAAACTCCAGTATATTATATTGGACAATTATACTTGCTGGAACTCCAGTATAATTGTTTTGTTTTCCTCTGTTTCCTAATTCCCTTGTTTTTGCTTTCCTCTTTATTACTCCTATTATTTATCGTTTTTATTTTGTAAATACTTACTCACACCAAATCAAAGTAATTTAACTTTTATAGTTAATAATTAGTGTAAGAATGCATATCATTTCACTATAATTAAGTGATAAATATAAATATAAAGATACATATCTTGTACTTATTGATTTGATATAAATACCGAATGCAAGTAAATTTTTACCTAAGATAGGCAGAGCATAGGAGTTAAAGTAGGAAAAATAACATTGTATATCCTCTCCCAAAATAAAAGCCGAAAATATATATTTATATATATACACATTTTTGTATGGTAATATACAAAATATATATATATTTTTCGGTCAGTGTTGTGTTCATGCTACTCTTCCGTTTTCATAATGTCGGTGCTTATTTACTGGTTATTAATTTTTTCCATCTATTCACTGGTTCTTATGATGTTGTTATTATTTCTATGGTTTTTTGTTGATGGTACTGATATATTGTCTCTTTTCGTCTTCTTGAGCCGAGGGTTTATCAAAAATAGTCTCTCTACCCCTCAGGGTAGAGGTAAAGTTTGCGTACACACTACCCTCCTTGACCCCACTTGTGAAATTTTACTGGATCGTCGTCATTATTGTTGTTTTATATACTTTTCGGCTATCATATATAAATAATTCGGTCGCGGGCTAAAAGTGATCTTTGTCCGGTAAAAGTAGGCTCTGAAAAGTCAACTTAACATCTTCCTTGAAGATTGAGACTTAAGTATGTATACTAACTAATATCTTATTAATCGAATAATTAACTTTGATGTTTGGAAAAAACAGAAAAGAAGAATCAGAGCATGTGTTTTTATTCATTGACCAATAAAATAAATTAATGTGCACAATCAATTGGAACGATGGTAAGCAACCTTCACTGAGTTCGAGTCACTCCAAGAGCAAGGTCAGGAGTTTTTGGAGAAAAGGATGTCGAGGGTCTATTTGGAAACAGTCTCTCTACTTCAGGGTAGGGGTAAGGTCTACGTACACACTACCCTCCCCAGACCCTATTAGTAGAATTATACCGAGTTATTGTTGTTGTTACTGTAATCAATTGGAGCTGGAGAGTAATGAAAGCAGATTGCTCTTGAACGTGGCCATAAAATATTTCATAATTACAACCATAAAAGTTTTTTTAATTACTTAGGTTTCCGTTATAATACTTCACTGTCACAACAAAAAAGATAGAAAATAAAGGAGAGAAAGAATTTTACCTTACACTCCTGATGTAATAATTTTAAAGAAATTAAGAGAAAGCATTTTACATGATACTTCTTTTTCTTTTTTAATTTTAAAAAAAGAAACAGTTTTTAAAAAGACATAGAATTTTGGGCAAAGATTACTTTTAGCCAACGGTCGAAACTATTTACATCAAGTAGTCGCAAATAGTGGCGAAGCTAGGAATTTTTTCAATACTATTCAAATTTAAAAGCGGTGAAAAATTTCCCGATTAAGGGTGTTCCGTATGTATACAGTGCATACGGTGCAATTTTACCTATGTACACAATGCAATAATTTACCTATGTATACAGTGCAATTTTTCGACGAAGGTTATGACTATGTGGCCGCAAAAGAATATAAAATTTATATATTTTGTATATAACATACAGAAATGTTTATATATACAAACAATATTAAAAAAAATTTTTTCGATTATTATTTCGAAAAAAAACATCTTTCCACAAAACTAAAGGCCCACAAAATCCTTTTACCTTGCTTTAGTCCCAAAAAAAAAAAAAAACTTCTTTTCAACGAATCCACCCTCACCTCTCCACCACAAAATAATATTTTTAGAAAAAAGACAACTAGAAAAACATTTCCAGCAGATTTTAATGCCGGCCAAAGAAAAACTTTATCTTTTTAAATTTTCACAAAACTACAAAAGGGTGATGACTTTTCTTGTTCTAGGCAAATGGTTGACCAAAAATGAGATCTTTTCTTGTATAAAATGTGATCAGATCTCAAGAAAAACAAATCTCACAAATATTTTTATTTTTTATCTTCATAAAAAATTCATTTCAGAATGGTTTCATCAGAAACTAATCCTAATAGTTCAGCAAAAATCAAATTAATTGATGGAAGAAACTTGGCTTATAAAGAAAGAGGTGTTCCTAAACACAAATCAAATTACAGAATTATTATGGTTCATGGCTTTGACAGCTCCAAAGAAAGAGATTTTCTTGCACCTAAGGTAACTATCTACCCTTGAATCATTTCCCCTTTGATATGTTATGAGCAGTGGTGGTAAACGGGCGGGTCGGGTCGGGTATGTGCTAGTCGAAAATGGGTAATGTAAAAACGGATAAATTATCCGATCCGACCCATATTTAATACGGATAAAAATCGGATTAACCAGCGGATAATATGAATATTCATATCCATATTATCCATGGATTCTTGAATATGATCACATTTGGGAGAATTCTTAGTCTCCCAAACTTGAGAAACCCCTAATTTGAGGCTTTACAAATGTAAAAGTTAAACTCGTTGGTTATCCATTTTCTAAGTGTAAAATATGGTTCTTATTCATATTTGACCCGTTTTCAAAAAGTTCATTAGATATGGGTGGATAGCTGTTTGCTTTTAACTATTTTGCCACCACTAATTATGAGCAAAGGTGGTAAAAAGGCTGGTTGGATCAAATTTAGGCAGGTCATAAAGGGTACGACCCAACCTGCTAAAAGTTTGTTTGGATCAAGATGTGTCAAATAGCGGGTTATAACTCAACCCCACATGACCTAACCCTCATTTTGCTTTTTGGATGGGTCATTTCGGGTTCAACCCATTGGCCGAGTCAACGAACGGGTCATAACCGAATCTGTTAAAACTTGGACGGGTTGGACGGATTATGAAAAAAATGAGTTAATTTTGCCACTATATGTTCTTAAAAGAGCAGTTAGATATATAGCTTGTTAAGTTTTTGAGATTTTGTTACAGGAACTTATGAACAAAATGGGAATATATATAGTTCAATTTGATAGAGCTGGATATGGAGAAAGTGATCCAAATCCTAAAAGATCACTAAGGAGTGAAGCATCTGATATTGAGGAATTAGCTGATCATTTGGAATTAGGATCCAAATTCTACATTATTGGTTTCTCAATGGGTTCTTACCCAACCTGGAGTTGCATCAAACACATCTCTCATAGGTAAAAATCAAATTTCTTGCTTTTATTTCGTCGTACCGCCTTTTTTTCCGATCAATATCAGCAAAGGGCAGCCCGGTGCAGTAAGTTCTCGCTATCGCGGGGTTCGGGGAAAAGGAGGACCACATGAATTTATTGTATGCAGTCTTGCCCTGTATTTCTACAGGAAATTGTTTCCATGACTCGAACAATAAACTTAATCTAAATTATAGAGCTAAGAGATACAATGAAACGGGAACAAACAAAATGTCAAATTGAATTGTGTTAGTCTTTATTCTAATCAATATCAGCAATGTTGTTCAATCAACGATAAACTTAATATAAATTATATAGTTATGAGATACAAAGAAACCCGAATGAACAAACTTGTCAAAGTGAGTTGTACATGTCTCTATTGTGGTCAATATGTGTATCCACAGTGTACTTCACGTTTCTCTTTTTCGTATATCCTTTCTTCAAATTGGTAGAAGGGGAGTCATAATGTAATTGGTAAAGTTGCTGCCATGTGATCAGGAGGTCACGGGTTCAAGCTGTGAAAATAGTCTCTTACAAAAATACAAGATAAGGCTACGTACAACCCTTGTGGCCCTTCCCGAACCCTGCATATAGCGGGAACTTAGTGCACCGAGCTGCCCTTTCTTCACCTTGGTAGATAGCAGAGTGTGGCATTTGTTCTTCCTATTATATAGCTATGAAATACCATGAAACCCGAATGAACAAAATGTCAAATTGAATAGACCAACTCTCTGTTGTGGTCAATATTTATAGCCAGAATGTGTATTCAGGTCTTCTATTTTGTTTTCCTATCATTTTCTTGAACTTGGTAGGTTAGGAGGGGTGGCATTTGTGGTTCCCATTGTGAATTACCAATGGCCATCTCTCCCGGAATGTCTAACAAAGGACGATGAACGGAAGAGGTGGTACAAAAGGATGACGTTGGTTGCAAGATTTGCTCCTCGATTATTGCATTGGTGGTTGATTCGAAAATCATCGCTCTCATCCTCAGCTGATAATTCAAAACCTACATACTTCACTGCCAAGGACTTAGAGCTATTAAAGAACGCACCTGGATTTCAATTTCTTACCTCGGTAAGGTCAATTCGACTTCACCATTCCAACATTCTCTTTTTCCATGCTAACAAGCTGCTACATCATATTATTTTGACAGGAAAAGCTAAAGAGCAGAAGTGTTTTCAACAACCTTTGTAGCGACTTCCTCGTGGCATTTAGTAAATGGGATTTTGATCCTTTGACGCTTAGCAATCCTTTTCCTGAAAATGATCAAAATTTTGTTCATATATGGCATGGCTGTGAAGACAAATTTATTAATTTGAAACTACAGAGACATGT